TCCTCTTTGGTTTGTATTTGGGAATATGCTTCCAGATGGTAGCTGTGCTCACTTGCACAAAGGGCTGTGTTGTGTAGACCTGTGAAAGCCACAAGACCAGTTTCCAGGGCTGTGTTGTGTAGACCTGTGAAAGCCACAAGACCAGTTTCCTGAGAATAGTTTTGTAATAGAGTTTGCTTCCAAGGGAATTTCTGTTGCAGAGGAGAGACTGTGTCTTAAGTCTTACACAAGAAACATGGGCAGGGCGGTGGAGAGCTGAAGCCCGGCAGCCCCACTGCTGGTGCTCAGCTACCTGTTAAAAGACTGTTGTTGTGCTAAAGCTTACAAAACTTCTCTGCTCACCCCTCAACTATAATCCTGTGGTAGTAAGACATACTCTAAATTAAACCCAGAGTAAAGCCGATTTTATATCTACACGTAAAAGAAAAGAAAACCTTGGCAACCCCTAGTGGGACTACATATTAAGATAGTGTTTGAAACCTATGGGTTATATTTTCCATGCATTTAATTACCATGTTTTACTGCCTAGGTATTTCCCTTGGTATGATCTTTATTTTAGCCATCCTTGTTCTCTGTTGGATAATTCTAAAGTGCAAAAATGGGTAAGTACAGCCATATTCTCCTAGAAAATGTAAATGCTACTTGCCTCCTCTTGAAAGACAAAAGGAAGTAAAAGAAAACCTCAAAAAAAAAAAAATACTACAACGTAAACAGACTTGGTAATTCTTATAAAGAAGGCCCTTGACACATATTATAAACAGAGAAGTATTTACCCTAAAGGAAATATGTATGATACTAAGAACCCTTTTTCAAAAAAGTTCGGCATTTTAAGAAGGAATTAAGTTTTACACAAAGAGAAAATAGGCAGAAGGAGTTGTTAAAAAGGTACTTATGATGCTGTTGATATCCTAGTTTGGCTGAGACATTGCAGACACTGACCTCTAAACACAGATCCTGTCACACTACTAAAAATTAGACTGTGTGTCCCACTGGCACACCTACCATAGGCTACTGGTGCAGAAGAATTGGGACTTTGCATTGGGTATTTTTTTTTTTAAAAAGTTTTATAAATGCCATTTATTTTTTAAACTTTCAAAAAACCTTGCAAAGATTAAGATCTAAATAAACACTTTTGACAGGGAAGAGAACATACACAGCTTTTGTACTGGTTGATTCAATTATGACGAAGTCATAAAAAGTTTTATAAATGCCATTTATTTTTTAAACTTTCAAAAAACCTTGCAAAGATTAAGATCTAAATAAACATTTTTGACAGGGAAGAGAACATACACAGCTTTTGTACTGGTTGATTCAATTATGACGAAGTCAGTGATGTCAGAATCAATGAGATCAGTATTAGGAGACTGATGAGTAAATTCTACACCCATGAGAAACAAAGTTTATAACTTTAAGTGAACAGTTTTTTATAGCAAACATTCTAAACGCAGTTTCCTACAATAAGCTTTACAGAAATTAAAGTTTTGATATTTCACAGGGATGCCAATACATTTTTTTAAAAAGTAGATTGTCACAATAGACCTTCTTGCAAATAACCTAGTCAAGAAGTCAATTTCATTCTAAAATAAAGAATTAGTAGAGATTTAAATTTAAGTTAAATCTTTATCCTTCCTAACTAATGTTCTCTATATTTTGTGGCTTGATATGTAAATATTCTTTGCCCTTTTTCATTACAAAAAGAAAAGGTAAGTAGCTTAATGCTTTATATTAGCAAAAGTGCAAAGTGAATACATTTTTCCCCGTAAGCTTTCTCATTAAGTACTGCTATAATTTGTGAGTTAATTTTTTTAAAAAATTTAACTAAGGCTGAATTGAAGACATTGGGGCTTCTAATTTTCTATATCTGTACCAGTCTCTAGTTTATACCATCCAGGGAAAATGATTATCCCTTCCTCTTGGAAATATTCAAGATGATTTTCCACCTCCCTCTCAATTGCTTCATTCCTCATCCCCTATGGCCTATTCCTTGTTAATCAACTGAAGCGTCAAATCTCCAAGCCCAACTATTGATTTGTTTCACCCACATAATTTAAGATCATTTCCTAATATTAATCATCCTCAGACATAAACAAGACTCAATAAACATTTCATAAAATTATTTCTTTAGAAATTATTGTCTTTTTAATCTGAACAACCTCAGGACATATACCATTTTTTCATGTTTTCCATCTCTTAAAACCTGCCTTCTGTTGTTTCCACATTATTTAAAAGTGTAATGTCCACAGCACAATCATTCTCTCTCTGACCAGTGACAAACCAGGATATGGTAGGAAGAAAGATCATGGTCTCTTTAACCTTAGCGGTCAGGGAGGATAAACCTCTCAAACGTCTAAGTAACCTACAGTAAAACCTATTATATGTGTATAGTCTGTGAAATTTTCAAAACATTTTCTGAAGTTTTATTTTCGGCCTGTTTCACTTCTTGGCATAGTGAGTGCATTCCTGTAACAAAATGCCATTTGTGTTCATGTTAGAAATAATGCATAGCTAAAATTAGGGAGTGGAAGTATTCAACTTAAATATTTACAATGCAAAAGTCCCAACCTTGGAAGCAGCTGGGTGGATCAGTCATTCAGTCACACTTCTGTGAGTGGGTGAAGCCCATAAGCAAAGCAGGTATGGCTGTATGGGGAGAATTGATGGTTCTTTATCAAGAGCTCAAGCTTTCCTCACAGAAGACAAGGGTTCTCACCATGAAAAGGAAGGAAGTCATATGAGAAACACAGAATATAAGAGTGGAAAGGACATTAGGGGTCATCTAGCCAGAAAAGCAGTTTATCTCAGAGCTAAAAAAAAAAAAAAGAGATTGAACAGTGTAGAACGAGATGGCCTGCTTTGGGAGAGACTTGGATCAAACTGGGCTGGGCAGGGTGCAGGCTGAAGCCTACCTCTGATACAGGAGACAACTCAGAAACTGCATAAGCAGTCTCAAGATTTCCTAAGAAGCTAAAATGAGACAAAAATAGAGTACACACGTACACACACACACACACACACACACACACACACAAAGAAATGATCTCACCTTTTTTCAAACACTCCTCAAAGAGGCCTACTTTACCTATCCTATCAAAGAATGCATCTCCCCCATCCCTGCATTGCTAATCTATCTTACCCTGCTCTACTTTCTTCATAGCCTTATCCCCTTTTATTATAATTAAATTAATTAAGGTTCTTGTTTATTTTCTTTCTCCCTCCATTAGAATGTAATCTCCATGAGGTCACAGATTTTTGTCTTATCTTCACCAACAGATCCATAACAAATATGAACTGTTCCTGGCTCAAAGACGTGCTCAGTAAATATTTACCACTTGAGTGAGTGTGCTGAACACCACTGAGTGTTACCACAAAAGGATGCATTCTGCTATAACTCCCTACCAAGTTAAATAGTACATCTTTAACTTGTCCTAAAATTAATGCAGGTTTCAAGGATGCTCATTGTTCTAACATACCAACTGCCCTAGTCTGTTTGGGTTGCTCTAGTAAAAATGCCATAGACTGGGTGACTTAAACAACAGGCATTTATTTCTCACAGTTCTGGAGGCTAGGAAGTCCAAGATCGGGTTACTTGCAAATTAGGTTTCTGGTGAGGGCCTGCTTCTTGACTAATAGATGGCAGTCTTCTCACTGTGTCCTCACATTGCGGAAAAGGGATGAGGTAGTTCTCTGGGGTCTCTTTTATAAGGGCATTAATCCCATTCACAAGAGCTCTGCCCTCATGACCTAATTACTTCTGAAAGTCCTCACCTCCTAATACCATTACCTTGGGGGTTAGGATTTTAACATAAATTCTGTGGGATACAAATATTCAGTCTATTCCATTGTACTAAAACTGAATATGGTAAGCAAACCTATTTTAAACTTATATCCCATTATTGATGGTTGCATATACCTTCTCAGTCCTCAGCTTTCCCAGATTCACAATATCTGGTTGTTCTGTGCATCCCTGCATGCCTCCCACCCTGCCCCCGAACCTTAGCCTTTCCCACCCTCTGTTAACGTTCTCTCTTCTTAGTCTGGACTGTACACCTCACCATCCCCCTTTCCAGACTATGAGCTCCTTGTGAGCAGGGGCTACTTATATCCACTCAAAATAATTTTTATTTAATGCTTTTTTATTTCCATTTGTATTGTGGTCAAGATTAATAAGAGTAGCAACAGTTTACATTTGTGTTTACAAAATGCTTTCCCAATATTATCTTCTTTGGTCCTCAAAGCAGCTCTGTGAGGTAGGTGGGCCCAATAATATTGTTCTCCCAAAGCAGAGAAGACTCTTAGAAGCAGAGAAATTCAGTGGCTTGTTTAAAATCATACCAGTAGAGAGTAGTTAGGAATTAGGGCTTTCGTCCAGATTATTTGACTCAAAATGTTGAATTCTTTATGCTATTCCTCTGATAATGCTAGTTGCCCATTTTTTAGTCTGATTCTGTATTACTAAAATTCAGTATCCAGAACTGTGTATTGAATCACCGTTTCTCTAGAAAACAGGATGCAACTTTTTTTTTTTTTGACTCTATATTCTGAGTTGTTAGCCTATAAGAAAATTAAGATATTTCTTTAAGGGCCATCTTTAGATATTTAGATTTAGAGAAAAACTTCCTGTCCATTCACACAGACTTGTAAGTTCTTCCTGTGATTTAACCTCACTGGCTTGACATTTCAATAGTGAACAAATGCTATTATCTGCACATTTTGATATTTCACTGTGTATTTACTGCCACAATAATTTGTGATAAATGTTAAACAACACAAATCATGCACTGATCACTGAGGAATAATAAACTGTTTAGACTTCTCCATTCAGAGCCCATTTATCCTTGCTTCTTCTTACTGCCTCTAACCAATTCCTATTTCTATACAAAATACCCTTCTTGTCCACAGTCAGATAAAACTTTAAAGTCTTCATTGGTATGATGCTTGGAGTGACAAAACTACTAAGGCTATCCTCTGTAAAGGCTCCTGCATTTTCCAATATTCATGTTAACCACCGGTAATCAACCAGATAGCCATTCATTCAACATATACTCACTGAGGTCATATTCTCTCACACCCCATGGACCGCTGTCACCTGTTACTCAACTAACCACTTAATCGCCACTCCTTGGAAGCCAGTACCACCTGGCTATCCAGCCTCTACTCCTCCTCGTGCATGCATCTCAAGTTTGCCCGTCCCCATGCTATGAACCCCCTGCCCCTGACTCACAGTCTTCTTCTTTGTCTCAAGTGCTGCATCATTCTAATTTCCATGCAGCAAAAAGAGTAACTGAGTGATGAGGGGTCATGAGGGTGGTAAAGTGAGTGACCTCTTTGTGCTTCCATTCTTAAGTCCCTAATGCAGTCTCATATGTAAAATCTAAAAGTACTGGTATTATCATTTCATTTATGTAAAATGAAATGCTTATTAAATAACCCCCAGAGGTTAAGGGCCATCTTTAGATATTTAGATTTAGAGAAAAACTTCCTGTCCATTCACACAGACTTGTAAGTTCTTCCTGTGATTTAACCTCACTGGCTTGACATTTCAATAGTGAACAAATGCTATTATCTGCACATTTTGATATTTCACTGTGTATTTACTGCCACAATAATTTGTGATAAATGTTAAACAACACAAATCATGCACTGATCACTGAGGAATAATAAACTGTTTAGACTTCTCCATTCAGAGCCCATTTATCCTTGCTTCTTCTTACTGCCTCTAACCAATTCCTATTTCTATACAAAATACCCTTCTTGTCCACAGTCAGATAAAACTTTAAAGTCTTCATTGGTATGATGCTTGGAGTGACAAAACTACTAAGGCTATCCTCTGTAAAGGCTCCTGCATTTTCCAATATTCATGTTAACCACCGGTAATCAACCAGATAGCCATTCATTCAACATATACTCACTGAGGTCATATTCTCTCACACCCCATGGACCGCTGTCACCTGTTACTCAACTAACCACTTAATCGCCACTCCTTGGAAGCCAGTACCACCTGGCTATCCAGCCTCTACTCCTCCTCGTGCATGCATCTCAAGTTTGCCCGTCCCCATGCTATGAACCCCCTGCCCCTGACTCACAGTCTTCTTCTTTGTCTCAAGTGCTGCATCATTCTAATTTCCATGCAGCAAAAAGAGTAACTGAGTGATGAGGGGTCATGAGGGTGGTAAAGTGAGTGACCTCTTTGTGCTTCCATTCTTAAGTCCCTAATGCAGTCTCATATGTAAAATCTAAAAGTACTGGTATTATCATTTCATTTATGTAAAATGAAATGCTTATTAAATAACCCCCAGAGGCAGTGTAGCAAACCAGGTGACAGCATGAGCTTTGCAATCAGTGAGACCTGTGTTCGCAGTCACTCACTAGCTATGAGACCCTGAGCAAGACACTTATCTTCTCTAACCCTCATTTTCCTTGCCTGGGAAATGGAGATAACAATAGTTCCTACTTTACTTAACATAGTGCCTCACTTATGATGAATGTCGGAAAATCTTAGCTATTATTATTTACACGATTGTTATTATTGATATTAAAAAGTGATTAAATACTTTTTTTTACTGTCAGTTCAAAATCTTGAGGTAAATAGTATTTACTAATCAAAATTATTTTAGAAATGTTGAAATGTATTGTTTTAAGGCATGGACACCTGTCTATAAACAATTTAGAGTCTTCTGACACAATATATAATATGGTTTTTGTATTGTTTCCTAATCCAAGTTTTTACTTAGTATTGAAAGATGAGATTTGCTTATTCTTTTCTTTTAGCCATCTTGCAAAGGTATCAGGAACTTGAGGGAAATTATACCTTAAATGTTAAAATGAAAGTTACTAATTTCTTTCAAAACAGAAACTTGCGTGATTAACGTAGATTTCCTATTTTTTTCTCCTCTGCCAATTAGCAAGAGTACAGACGAAAAATCTCAAGAAGAGATGATCCATTTACATACTCAAAAAGCCAGCTGTGTTCATTGCCAAACTCTGCAAACAAATCAGGAAAATATCAGGTACCTATTACACATACTGAATTCAAAATGTTTTCAGCAACTCAAATATTGAAAATGGGAACAGGATTTGAACATGAAATTGTACTAGGTAGGTAGGTCATTGATGCCAGAGTAGTGAGAAAGTACTTTGGGGGCTGGAAACTCCTTTTTTTCCCCTTGGATTATTATTTCAACGATTTTGGGTGATGACTC